AGATCCCCAGACACGGAACACAGACGCATCGCCAACCTTCCCCGTCCACAGCAAGGCTGGGGACATCGCAGGCCGAGAGACCCGGGGGTGAAGGCTGAGCTGATGCGCCGCGTACCTCACCGCAAACGGCCACAGAAAATGGGGGGCAGCCGCATGCATCATGGACGTACGAGCGACATCCATGACCATGCCAATGCGGCGCTCAGCAATCCCATTTTGCTGTGGTGAGTCCGGAAGCGTGAAGGTCTGGCGAATCCCCCGTGCACGACAGTAGTCCCGCAGAAGGCGAGAAGAGAACTCTCCGCCTCTGTCCGAGTGCAGACGCAGAACAGGAAAGTCCGAGCCGAAGCTCTTCCTGAGCTGGAGACGAGCCTCGCGGATCCAGTCGATCAGCACCTCAGTGACCGCACCCTTGCTGCGCAAGGGGAGGACTGTGGTGTAACGCGAGTAGTCGTCAACCACCAACAGGAAGTAGCGCTCGTGACCCTGCCCACGGACGGGGGCTGGGCCCCACACGTCCATGTGAAGCGTCTGCAGGGGAGCCTCTGTCGAGGGGAAGTGGGAGGAGTGAGAAGTAGCCCGGAGGCGACCCTCGACACAGGGGACACAGGAAGGTCCTGGCCCGGAGGGGAGAGGAGGGAGAGACTGGGGAAGACCAGAGACAAGGACACGGGAAGCCATGCTCCGAAGACGGGGCAAGGAGGGGTGGCCAAGACGGTGGTGCCACAGGAGAGTCTCGTGAGACAGGAGGCGACAAGAACAGGGGGCAGACTCAGGACCTGACCGGGACGCAGCAGCAAGCACCTGACCCGACGCAGCCACCTGACCAGACGCAGGGACAGGAGGAGACTCAACGGTCAGGGTGTAGAGACTCGACCCCGGCCGACGCGAGAACGTGGCCAGGTGTCGGCCTGTGCGTGCCTCCGTGCAGTGGGTCACCCGCTGACTCGCAGGAGTGAACTGGTGAACCCCCACATCCTGCAGGTCCGCTCCACTCACCAAGTTCGTAGAGAACGAGGGAAGGTACAGACCAGACAGGGTGCCCGAAGGGGCAGCCGGACACGGGAGGACAGTGGAGAAGTGAGACAGGACAGGACCCCCAGAGGGGTCAGCAAGGGAGACCGCAACCGGCCGGCCGAGCGGCGTAAGGGTAGTGCGGTCTCGAAAGAAGGAGCGAGAAGCCCCGGAGTCAAGTGTGAAGGTGAGGGAGGACGCAGTACCTGAGAGCACAGACGCACTGGCACCTAGAGCAGCAGCCTCACAAGCACCTAGCGCAGCAGTACCAATGCCCGGGTCGGGCTGGAAACACCGGTAACCCTCATTCTCCTCACTATAATCCACAGCATACATAGCAGCAAGGATAGCATCAAAATCAAGATCAAAGATCGCTACACCAGCCCTTAGAAGCTCATCCTAGCGAGGGATCTCACTAGCCCCAGGGAACTGCTGACGCCAAGCGTCCGTCAGGCGGCCAAAGCAGCGCTGGGTGGCGTGGGCACCCCCACACTGCTCACCTGCGCGGTCGCCGGAACGAAGAACGTAGGTGCAGGGACCAGTACCCCCACCCCTCTGACGCCCAGCGTACCACTCACGAAGCTGATGAGGCGGAGGGACGTCCCGCGAGCGCTGCTGCTGCTGCCGCTGCGAGCGCTGGCCACCACCACCGCCGCTACGCTGCTGGGTACCACCCCGACCAGCTCCACCTCCTCCACCACCACCGCCTCCTCCGCTGCCGCCTCCACCTCCGCCGCCTCCACCTCCGCCGCTGCCTCCACCACCACCGCTGGCACCACCACCACCGTCTCCGCCGCTGCTGCCACCACCACCACCACCCCCGCCACTAGTCCCGCCGCCACCCCCACTCCCTCCGCCGCCACCGCCGCCACCGCCACCGCCCCCTCCAGCTCCACCCGCGCCCTTGCCCCCCTTGCCCTTGCTGGAGCGACGTCTCCCACTAGGGGTAGACGCCGCGCCGACCGACTCAAGACCAAGCAGGTCGGCAGCAGCAGCAGAGGCAACAGAGGGCAGCAAGGGGGAAGGAGAGCACCCCTCAAAGATGGGGGTGCGAGGGTCACCACGAGAAGCACCTACAGCGACTATGCTCTTCTCCGCTGCGAGGAGGGCCTTCTCGAGGAGGTCGACGGTGAGGGTGGTGGGACAGACTGCGAGAAAGTGGTCCCTGACGACGCGAAGGGAGTCAGGGAGGCGCGCGACTACGTAGTAGAGAGCGATGTACATGGGGGGTGGGTTCTTAGCGCAGAACTCAGCAGGAAGGGCGGCGCGGTAGCGAGTGTCACTAGTGCGGAGGTGCGTAATGAGGTCAGCAACAGTGGGAAAGGCAGAGAGGTCACGAAAGAGGTAGGGAAGCATGAGACGGCTCAGTGCAGCAGTGGCAGGGGAGGAGTAGCGCGCAACTACAGCGTCGTACAAGGTCTGAGCACTCTTGTACTGACTAAAGTGCGCACGCTCAGAGGTAGGGAGGTGGCGACGCACAGCAAGACGTGCAGCAGCATCGCGGGTGGCCCACTGAGAGCGGACAGTGGGATCAGCATCAGCAGCAGGAGCAGGAGAGGCGCCAGAGGTGAGGTCAAAGAGAGAAAGGTCGTCAGCCCTGTCGCACTGTAAGAACAGCTGCAGGTCGTCTAACCAGACCTCAAAATCAATGGCGCGACCCTCAGCGTCAAAAGCTAGGACACTAGGGGTAGCCATGGCGACGACAGCGACGCAGTGCAAGCAGTAGGGAAAGAGCTCGCAGTGTCAGTGGGACTGTGCTCACCAGGCAGGGCAGGTCGTGCAGCTCTGCAGAAAGGCGGCTCAGCGACCGGGCGGCTCGGGTGCACAGCGGCTCGGCTCCCGGGCGGCTCGGCGGCTGGGCGGCTCGGGCGCAGGGCGGCTCGGCTCCCGGGCGGCTCGGCGGCAGGGCGGCTCGGGTGCAGGGCGGCTCGGCTCCCGGGCGGCTCGGCGGCAGGGCGGCTCGGGTCCCGGGCGGTTCGGCTGCTGGGGCGGCTCTGCTGCTGGGGCGGCTCGGCCGGGAGATGCAGGGGCGGGGCCGTCAGGTGCAGCGGCGGGTCGACCGGTGCAGCGGCGGGCCGACAGGTGCAGCGGCGGGGCCGTAGGGTGCAGCGGCGGGCCGACCAGGTGAGGCGGCGGGCCGTAGGGTGCAGCGGCGGGCCGTAGGGTGCAGCGGCGGGCCGGCAGGTGCAGCGGCGGGGCCGTCAGGTGAAGCGGCGGGCCGCTGGGTGCAGCGGCGGGCCGGCAGGTGCAGCGGCGGGCCGGCAGGTGCAGCGGCGGGGCCGTCAGGTGAGGCGGCGGGCCGTAGGGTGCAGCGGCGGGCCGTAGGGTGCAGCGGCGGGCCGGCAGGGCCGCGTCAGAGCCGGCGGCGGGGCCGCGTCAGTGGAGGCGGCGGGGCCGCGTCAAGCAGGCGGCGGGGCCGCGACGAAGCGGGCGGCAGGGCCGCGTCAGAGCCGGCGGCGGGGCCGCGTCAGTGGAGGCGGCAGGGCCGCGTCAAGCAGGCGGCGGGGCCGCGACGAAGCGGGCGGCAGGGCCGCGTCAGAGCCGGCGGCGGGGCCGCGTCAGTGGAGGCGGCGGGGCCGCGTCAAGCAGGCGGCGGGGCCGCGATCAGGAGGGGTGGCGGGGCCGCGTCTGAGGGACAGCGGGGCCGCGAGGGAAATGGCGACCCGAGGGGTCGCTAAAAAAAAGGCGCGCCTCGGGGCGCGCTTCGGTGGGCCCTAAAAAAAAAACGGTCCTAAGGAAGGACCTGCTCTATACCTTGTGAAAGAAGTGAATAGGAGTGGATGAACTAGCAGTGAAAAGAGTACAAGTAGGAAACCCTAGAATTGTGTACCCCCTATAGGCTAACCCACTGTAGCCTACACAAGCATAACATATATAATGTTTGACACCACACACTTGTCCCTTGCGGTTGCCATACTTGACGACATAGGTGCACGGAGGGAAGCAGTTGCGCTGGAAGGTCGCCGAGGCGAGGGCCGATGCGACACTTGCTTGCGGCATGGGAGCGCGGATGGCGTAAGCCTTGGCTTGAGCCGTGGAATCTTTCTCAGCAGAGAGGAGTGCGGATGAGACCTTGGCAAATGTGAGGTCTTCCGCTGAGAGCGTGAGGAGCATCTTCCTCGTTACTTCATATGCCGAGGTGAGACCAACAAGAAGGGCGGCTGCAGGGGCTTGTCCAGAGAAGACTATGCCCAGCTCCTTCAGTTTGCCATGAATTGTCTGCACCTTGGCGATGTAGTCAGCCATTCTCGAGCAATCCTCAAGGCGGTCCTGGAACATGCTGGGGATGAGGATGGCAACTCCGACTGCAGTCTTGTTTATGAACCGATCCTGGAGATACTTCCAGATGGCGTTGGAGGTAGGGTAGTTATGGAACGTGTTGACAAGTTCTGGAGGGGTGGAGGCGATGAAGACGCTGATAATAGCAGCATCGGCCTTCTCCCATTTCCGGTACTTCTCAACAGCTTCCTCGTACGCCCTCATGTCAGTATCTCTAGCGGATTCGGGGGGCTCAAGGGGGGAAGGGGGCTGTTTTCCCTTGCCACGGTTGAGGAGAACGTCCTTGAGGTCCAGTCCGTGCACGTCACGACTCAAGAGGTGCTTGTCAACCCCATAGCTCCATGCCTTGAAGTTGGAGCTAGAGCCATCGGCTTCAAGGCGGAGTGGGTTGATGGGGTTGGCCATGGTGGACGAGGCGAATGCCATGATGGAGAACCCTTAGTGTGTCGCGCGGAGCGCTGCTCTTGAGTCACCGATAGGAACTTGAGGTTTGGGGTTTCCAAGGAGATTTTGAAGAACCAGAGGTTTAGGGTTTACGAAAGAGAATTTTGAGGTTTAGGGTTTCTGAAGGAGAATTTGACTGAAACGCCAATTTAGTGTCAACTACCTACTAATCCTATTCCCACACACCCCCCCACACACCACCCTCAGCTTCGCGGCTACGCTGCTGCTCGGCTTCGCGGCTACACGGCTGCTCGGCTTCGCGGCTACACTGCTGCTCGGCTGCGTAGTTGCGGGAAAGGAGGGGGGGGGGGGAGGGATGGGGGTAGGAGTGCAGATGCGGAGCGACGGGCGGCAGCCCGAAGGTGAAGCTGCTGGGCGACGGGCGGCGGCCCGACGAGAAGCTGCGGGGTGACGGGCGACGGCCCGACGAGAAGCTGCGGGGCGACGAGCGACGGCCCGACGAGAAGCTGCGGGGCGACGGGCGACGGCCCGACGAGAAGCTGCGGGGCGACGGGCGACGGCCCGACGAGAAGCTGTAGGGTGACGGGCGACGGCCCGACGAGGAGAGGGAATGACACGATGATGTTCGACGAAAACGAGCGATAGGTTAAAGCGCCGACGATGCGCTTACCAGAGAAATAGTAGATGCCGTCGAAAGTGATGGGAAAGTGGTGCAGGAGAATTTCCGCCCACGAATGTCGCGAATCAACGGCGACGAGATTGAAGGCGGTTACGCCGAAGTTTGCGGGACGAACATCCGCAGAGATAAGAGTGTCATGATCCGCGTGTGCGGTTGAAGGGCTCTGATACCATGTCAGTATTTAGGCTTAGAAGAGATACATTAGTAATGAGCTTGAAGCTCTTTAAGTACATCCAAGTAGGGTAAGGAATAGTTGGGGAAGGGAATCAGAGGCAATCCCTAGGGGATAGGGGGTAATCCCAAGGCAATCTCCAATTGGTGGGTTGGAGATTGCTTGGAGATTACATTTGGGTTTGGTTGGGATGTAGGTGTACACCCAACCAAACACAATGTGCAAGCTACACTATTCTAGGATATAGAAAATACAAAGTACAAAGTGTGAGATTGAAGGCTAACACTAGCACCATCTGTTGCATCATGCCTACCTGGCGAATAACACTTGTTGGAGAAAGTAAATCTTTTTGTTTCTGATACTCTTGTTTTTTGTGTGCAGCCCCAGCGTCCGATGCTCCACCATCCATTGCCGAACCATCCATTGCCGAACCATCCGAGGCATCCCCATCGGAGCCTCCAATCTCTCCCCCCATCCCTGCACCTCCCTCCGAGTCTTCTCCTTCCCTTCCTCCTCCCCCACCTCCTCCTCCTTTTGAGCCTCTTCCATCCAACCTCGACGGCAGCAGCAGCAGCACCACCACCATCACAAACAACAACAACGCCAACGCCAGCGCCAATGCTTCCTCCTCCAGCTCGGGGTTGTCGACAGGAGCCATCGTGGGCATCGTGGTGGGCGTGCTGCTCTTCACTGTTGGCACCATTGCTGTTGTCTTCATTGTCATTCAGTGTGGCAAGAGGTCCAAAGGTAAGCCCCTGAAAGGCACCGGCACGAGCACATGCTTTTCCTCTCCATTTGTGAGACGCCTCTCAATTGTCAGGGTCTCTATCATCATTCAGTGCGGCAACACCTCACTTCTTTTCCTAGCTCTGTGTGGTTTCTGCTGCTTGCACTCATCAACTGAGGGTCTAGATCATGAACCCCCCCTCCGTTATTCCTCTATGTTATCCCCCCTTGCATTCCTTAACACCTCACTTGTCCTTGTACCCGCGTGTGTGCTTCCCTCTCTGCAGAGGTGGAGGTGGAATACACGACTCAAGCTGCAGGAGCATACGCAGGGGATAACCAGTACAAGCCGCCCCAGGGTGCGTATGCTGGTTACCAGCCTGGTGCTGCCGGCCAGGTGTAGTCAGATGCTGGTTACCAGCCTGGCGCTGTCTGATTCACTTGTACTCATACTTCGAGCATTGGCCTGCAGCTGTACTTCAAGGTGCAGTTGATAATACGAGGGACGGAATATGGGAGGAGTGGCAATGACAACCGGATGTCTGCTTGATGAACACATAGCGGGCGTCGACGTCCTGATCTTGCCGTCTAATTTCCGACTATGTAACCAGATGTTGTAGCTGATATCACTTCGACCTGACGTGGTCAACACGTCAGATTCCGCGTCTGACGCGTTGACCAGGGTCTTAAAGTGTTTGCATCGAAAGGCGGGTCCTCATCAGGTAGGACACAATAAGCATTTGGTCCCCAGATAAAAAAAGAGCATCTGTACTAGACCAAGTAGCTCCTAGTAATGAAAATGAAAACCAGCATCTGCAATGGGCATTGGTGACTAGATTCTCGCTACCCGGTTCCTTCACAGTATCAGAAAGGGCAAGATTCAAGCACCGTGGTAGCAGATTGTACCATTGTTCAAGCACAAGAAAGTTGTAGCACACAAGTGCTGTGGCATTTTTAGCAGGTGCAGGTGTGGCGAAGAGTAGCAGGTGCAGGTGGGACGTCAAGTTGCTATACTTAGACCTTTGCAGTGGCATCTGGCTGGTAACTGACGTAGTCCTTGGCATAGGTGCCCAGAGGGGCTGCGGCTGAAGCAGAGTACTGGCATTCATTAGGCACTTCAACCACTGCACAGGTAGGGCAGCATTCGAGTCAAGGCGCACCAGAGTGTTTCAGTATGGTTAGGGACGGCGAGTGACAGGTTCGGAAGCACATTTCAGTACGACAGATCCTTTGTGGTGAATATTTTTAGGCTGGTAAAAAAATATAGTGAAGATGGTGATTCTGTCATGGTGTTTGTGCCGTGGGACATGCCGTGATGATACACAGAGGTGCCGTTTTATGTCAAAGAAAAGCATCAGTGAAGAAAGAGGAGGAACTTTGGTCACCTTCAATTTTCTTTCTGCAGCGAATGACGACGAAGACGGTGGCAACGACGCAGACGACCAGCAGCAGCACGCCCACCACAATGCCCACGATGGCTCCTACGGTCAGCCCCGCGCTGGCGGATGGCTCATTGGCGCTCGCATTGCTGGTTTTGTTGGTGTTGGCGCTGGTGTTGTTGGTGTTGGCGCTGGTGTTGTTGGTGTTGGCGCTGGTGTTGTTGGTGTTGGCGCTGGTGTTGTTGGTGTTGTTGGTGTTGTTGGTGTTGTTGGTGTTGTTGGATGGAGGGGGCTTAACAGGAGGAGGGGGAAGAGGAAGAGGGGAAGGGGAAGACTCCGAGGGCGATGCAGGGATGGGAGGAGAGATTGAAGGCCCTGATGGGGATGCTTCGGATGGGGGTGCTTCTAATGCCGGGGCTTGGGATGCCGGAGCTTGGGATGCCGGAGCTTGGGATGCCGGGGCTTGGGATGCCGGAGCTTGGGATGCCGGAGCTTGGGATGCCGGGGCGTCGGTTGGTGGGGCTTGGGATGCCGGAGCTTGGGATGCCGGAGCTTGGGATGCCGGAGCTTGGGATGCCGGGGCGTCGGTTGGTGGGGCTTGGGATGCCGGGGCTGCACACAAACAAGGGAAAGGGGAAGGATGGACATAAGGATAAACAACTAACAACTTCACTCCTTGAAGTTCGACCAGAGAGGGAGTTCAGATCCTTTGTCAGGAGGGATGAAGTAGCAATCACCCACCAGGTGCAGGCGGGCTGCAGGAGGAGCAAAAGGTAGCACAGACGGTGCAGAACTTGCTGAACTCTCTTTGCTCCACCACACACGGGGTGCCTCTGGCAGGGCAGGCAATGGTGGAATCGTATTTTCTGCACGCAAGGGCAGTGAGTGGGAGGGAAAGGGGAGTGAGAGTTCAGGGGCTGTGGGAAAGAAGGGGCAGTGAGAGGGCTGGGAGCTGCTGGCAGGGCAGGCAACAGTAGAATTGCATTTGCTGCTGGCTGGGGTGGTGAGAAGGGAGGGTCAGTGAGTGGGCAGGGGAATGGAAAGCACGAGGGAGATGAAAAATGGCCCAGGAATTCTGTTCTCTGGCAATTCATCTTACAGGGTGTCAAGATATGGTGTTTTGAGACGTCTCAAACCACTTGTTCAAACACAAAGTGGCCTCACAAGTTTGTTCTCTGGCGCTTCATCTCACAGGGTGTCCAGATATGGTACGCCCAGAGTGGGTGGAAGCGTGCCAGTCAGATTGTTGCCCTCGAGCCTCCTGTGTGGGTGGGCAGAGAATCATACTTGCACTTGAGATTCAGGAGTGTGTTCAGTGGTGAGGACTTGCAAGGCAATGATGTGTGGTGAGTTGAGGACATGAGGCCAAGAGAAGCGGAGAATTATGGCAAGAAAGGTGAAGTATTGGATAAGGGCAGCATTTACAGCAGGCAGTACTCAACGAAAGCAGCAGAACTCAAAAAATGCTGCAGTACTGAGCAGGAAACAACACTCACATCAAGCACCAGCACTCACAGCGGGCACCAGCACTCACAGCGGGCACCAGCACTCACAGCAGGCACCAGCACTCACAGCGGGCACCAGCACTCACAGCGGGCACCAGCACTCACAGCGGGCACCAGCACTCACAGCGGGCACCAGCACTCACAGCGGGCACCAGCACTCACAGCGGGCACCAGCACTCACAGGATTTGAAGATCGGACAGCAAGCCAAGGCCGGATGGAATGGAGCCGCCCACACCCGTGTAGTCGAGGCTCCTATTGGGGGAAAGGTAGGGGCGGGGGATGGGCAGAATTAGCATGAAAGGGATGGGGGGAAAGGGGAGGAGGGAGGGATGCATGCCATGCATGGCGGGGGGGAGAGAATGGGCTTGGTATGATGGAGAGGATGGGAAGAGCCAGGAAGAGGCTGTAGCTGGGAAGTTGAATCCCATGTAGCTCGGGCTCTTATGGTGGCAGGGCAGAGACCCAGCCGACATGGGATTGTGGCACGGCAGAACTCCAGCAGACATAGGATTGTATTTCATACTCTACTGACTTCCATGCCTTTCTTCTTGTCGTAAGTGGATAGCTCAACCCACTGAAGGGGCTGAGATGGGGTGGGGTGCGGTGAAGTGAGGCATGGTGAGGTGAGGTGAGGTGCGGTGAGGTGAGGTGAGGTGAGGCGAGGTGCCGTGCGGCACGGTGAGGTGAAGTGCTGGTTCATCGTGAAGGCTTACAGCTCAACGAGGTTTGTAAGGGCGGTGATGGTGCTGGGAATGGTGCTGCCTGTGAAGTTGTTGCCATTGAGCTTGCTGCAAGGGACAAAGTGACGAGCGTTCACAAATGCTGTTGCCGTGAGGCTCTGAGACTGTTGATATTCTTTCTCTTTAAGACCTAACAAATGGGAAACTGGTTGCATGCACGTTTCCTTACAGCACTTTCCTCTTAAAAAACGCTCCCCCCCACTCACAACCCACCATCTCCTCACCCGCCTCCTCCTCCTCATACCCCACCCTCCCCTCCAACGAGCACCTCCTGCCCGGACTCACAGGTACTCCAGGTTGGGGATGGTGCCGATGCTGTCAGTGAGCGGCCCAATGTTGTTGTTGGTGAGGTCGCTGCGATGCGTGGGAGGGGGGGAGGTGTGAGAGGGGGAGTGATGTGGGAGGGAGAGTGGTGTGGGTAGGAGAGTGGTGTTGGAGGGATAGAGGAATTGGAGGGTGAGGCATGTGAGTGGGGCATAGGGTGCATGTGGGAGGGAGAGACACGTGAGTGGGGCATGAGATGCATGTGGGAGGGAGAGACACGTGAGTGGGGCATGAGATGCATGTGGGAGGGAGAGACACGTGAGTGGGGCATGAGATGCATGTGGGAGGGAGAGACACGTGAGTGGTGCATGAGATGCATGTGGGAGGGAGAGACACGTGAGTGGGGCATGAGATGCATGTGGGAGGGAGAGACACGTGAGTGGTGCATGAGATGCATGTGGGAGGGCATGGGTGCCATTCCTCCTTAGAGAAGTTTCAAATCAACAAACACGAGTTTTTGATCATAGAAAGACAGGATGTGCTTGGAAAGGAAAGGAAGAAGGAAAAGGCTCTTGAGTGGGTGTGGTTACAGTGAGGTGAGGGTGTCCTTACAACGAGGTGAGGGTGTGCTTACAGCGAGGTGAGGGTGTGCTTACAACGAGGTGAGGGTGTGCTTACAGGGAGGTGAGGGTGTGATGATTGCGATGTATGAGTGTGCTTACAGCGAGATGAGGTTCTTGAGGTTGGAGAACGATTCAGGGATGGGCCCTGAGAGGGCAGCTCCTGTGGAGTCGTTGTCACTCACGCTGATGATCCTGCACAGCACACAACGGAGCGACATGGATGAACGAGGGAGAGGGTGGGGGGTGGGATGTCGTGAGGCCATGCCAATCACTCACGCTGTTGCTTCAACACTCACACAAGGGGGGGTGATGTAAGAGAGAGAGAGAGCAGGGTTTAGGGAGAGATGTACAAGAAAGGGATACCGCAAGGCCATTTCAATCACTCTCGCTGACTCGTCCGTCAAGAGAACGCAGTTGGACAGAAGAAGCTTGTAAACCTGCCTAGTATGGATACTCAGCTCTTTGCATAGTGCGCAGTGCCTGAATTTAGAAAGCGGTGCTTGCCGGGAGTGAATATATCGAGAAGGTGGTGCTCACAGGGAGTGGCTGTAATAAGGAAGCGGTGCTCACAGTGATTGCAGGCTGGCCATGTTACCAAAGGAGGCCGGGATGCTGCCCGATTCCACCCGGCTGATTGTCCTGCACGGTCGGAAGGAGGGAGAGGGTGATGAGGAGAGAGGTGGGAGGTGGGCATGGTGGGGCATTGCCAATCACCCTGGTTAACCACCCTTCTTGACCAGAAGGAGGGGTGTGACAATGATGAATGGGGTGACAATGATAGAATGGGGTGACAATGATAGAATGGGGTGACAATGATAGAGGGGGGCGGCACAATAGTAGAGGAATGTGGGGTGGAGAGACAAAGCATGATTATGTGTTGGGCTCTGGCCAGCACAGTGTGCGGAGGGCAGCACAGTGTGTGGAGGGCAGCACAGTGTGTGGAGGGCAGCACAGTGTGCGGAGGGCAGCACTGTGTATGGAGGGGAGCGGCTCACAGCTCTTGCAGGTTGGTCATGTTGCCCATGCTGGCGGGCAGGGTGCCTCTAATGGCGACAAACTCTAGGTTCCTGCCATGCTCACACGCACATGAGCAAACAGACACGCAAGCATGCACATATTTATATGCATGAATGCGCACATACACACCCATGCATGCACACATACACACGCATGCATGCACACGTACACACGCATACATGCACACATGCACACGCATACATGCATGGATGCGCACCCATGCACACGTACGGGTGAGCCTCCATCTCTGCACAAAGAAATGAATTTCAACATGGACAAATTGCCTCAAAATACGTTCAAATTTCGCAACTCCCATCGCTCACAGAAGGGACAGAGTATCACAGGGTGGTGAGAGGCTCGCAGGGAGGTGAGAGGCTCACAGGGAGGTGAGACGCTCACAGGGAGGTGAGATGCTCACAGGGAGGTGAGAGGCTCACAAAGAAATGAGAGGCTCACAGGGAGGTGAGAGGCTCACAGGGGGGTGAGAGGCTCACAGGGAGGTGAGACGCTCACAGGGAGGTGAGAGGCTCACAGGGAGGTGAGATGCTCACAGGGAGGTGAGAGGCTCACAGGGAGGTGAGAGGCTCACAGGTTGGTGAGTCGTGTGAGTTTGGTGATGACATCTGGAATGGTGTCAAATTTCGTGTTGATGGATGTCGGACTGGTGAGACGCAGAGGCGGGCCGGGCGGAGAGAGAAAAGAAGGGATGAGAGGGGTTGCGGGAGGAAGAGAGTGAGCTTGCTTCACAAAAGGATGACGTCTGGAATGGTGTTGACGCCCTGTTGGTTGCTCATGGACGTTGGGCTGGTGCGGTGCAGGGCGTGGGAGCAGGGCGCGAGGGCGGGGGTCAAGGCGGGAGGTGAGGAAGGATGGAGAAGTGAAGGAGCTTGCTTCGAGAGGGATGAACAGTGATCATGGTAACCACCAGCAGCACCAGCAAATATCAGGAGGCGTCACCTCCAGCTCATTTTTACGATCAAGGGTGCACATGATCGTTTCTTTTTGCGGGGTTAAAAGGTTTCTGAAATTTGAGGATGTAATACACGTGATTTCAGCGCGGTGGCTGATCGTTATTGCACGATGGCTGATCGTTATTGCACGGTGGCTGATCGTTATTGCGCGGTGGCTGATCGTTATTGCACGGTGGCTGATCGTTATTGCACGGTGGCTGATCGTTATTGCACGGTGGCTGATCGTTATTGCACGGTGGCTGATCTTTATTGCCAAACTGAACTTGAGGTGTTGCGTCCTCATCATCCCATCACCACCCATCATCATCGCATCACCACCTCATCATCACATTACCAACATAACATCACATCACCAGCAGCAGCAGCAGCAGCAGCAGCAGCAGCAGCAGCAGCACTAGCAATACAGCTGCAGCAACAGCAACACCACCATCATCATCATCATCATCATCATCATCATCATCATCATCATCATCATCATCATCATCATCATCATCATCATCATCAGCAGCAGCAGCAGCAGCAGCAGCAGCGTCAACCAAAATCATCACATCACCACCACAAGCACCAGCAGCAGCAGAAGCAGCAGCAGCACACCACCACCACCATCACCAACACCAGCAGCACCCATCATTATCACATCACCACCACAAGCGCCAGCATCAGCAGCAGCAGCACCAACATGGGAGGCAGTGCGACGTACTAGATGGAGACAAAGCCTTCCTTGGCGCATTCGCGAATGACCATCATCAGCAGCAGCACTCATGATTACCAACACCCATCATCATCATTACATCAGCATTATCAGCACCGGAAGCACCCATCATCATCTCATAGACAATATAAGCAGCAGCAGCAGCAGCAGCACCAACATGGGGGACAGTGCGACGTACTAGATGGAAACAATGAAGCCGTCTGCGTCGCACTCGCGCACGACCTGGAAGCTATACGAGTCCGCGCAGTCCTCGCTAATGACCATGTCAATTCCCCACACCTTTGACAACTCCTGAAGAGGCGGGACTGCAAAGGGAGAAGAGACGGAGGGTGAGAGGAGGGAGGGGGACGGTGGGGGCAGGGGAGATATTTCTGAGGCGCCTCACAGTTTGACCTGGTAACTAGTCGGTAATCAGACAGTCACCACTGTTGATGTCAATGCCCCACACCTTTGACATCTCCTTGTGAGGCGGGACTTCAGCAAGTAGGGGGAGAGGAGAGGGGAGTTTTTCTTAGTAGGCGCTCAGGAATCGACCTGGAAGTTATATATGGCCTTTTTTTTGTAGGCGCCTAAAAAGTCCTTAACGTGGTTACGCATTCTTCAAGAATGGTCACGCATTCCTTATTGATGAACCACGACTTTCACAACCCCTTCAGAAACGGGGTGGGACTGAAGAGGAGAGCGAATGGGGGAGCGAAGCGTTGTTTTAGGGGCGTCAAAGATCGAGCTGGAAGATACGCAGGGTCGCACAGTTCCCCTCCACGATGACGTGAATGCTATTTTTGTGGCACTTGAAGGTTAGACACCTGTCACACCCCTTTGAAAGGCGGGACTGGAGAGGGGTGGGGTAAGAGAGGGAGATTGATGCAGAGAGGAGGGGAAGGGGAGGGAGATCTAGGGAAGAGGGAGCAGGAGAATGAGGAAACGTGGGAGCACAGCGGAAGAGGAGAGCAGTTGCCGCATGGTCCTTGTCATTCAATGAAGAAAAGGAGAATCAGATCTCATTCACGGCATTGATGCCGCATCCAAGCATCTCAAAAATGTCGGGTCTATTTCCGGGCGTTAACATCCATACTTTGGTTGTAAACAATGTATTTATGCCCAATAATTGCCCGGCTGTAAATAAGGCAGACTTTAGCCGTTTCCGGGTCGATAATTGCCGGACCGTTAATTACCGGGGATGGCCCTTATTGGCTGTAAATCAGCATGGCGCCGGGGTCAGAGTTCTCCACTTACTGGGGTTGAGATGGCAGTGAACCAGAGTGCCATTCACAGTTGTTTCTAGTTCTGATAAAAAAAGGCAAATTGTCCTTGTTTACAGTCATTCAAAAGCCACCATAACTAGGCCTGAACTTCCTGAAAACACCCAATCATTAATTAATGATAGCACCCTAATAATAGTAATAAAAAACAATGTGATTATCAAATTACTGTACAAAATTTGAGCATACATTAGAGCAGCAAAACTACAATTAGAAAACCAGGGTTCCTGGCAGCAACCCAGCAAACTCGTCCTCAAACCCTGCGATCACAATACGCACTAACGGGTTTGCTCCCATCTGAAAGCCTGCAGGGGCAGTGTCGCGATAGATATTATCCCCACGGGATAACCTATCCTTAATCCAATCAATAATCACCCCCACTTTCAGCTGCACTTCCCTCCTGTTGTTCGAGTCACTACCATCTAGGGCAGGCGTGTCACGGCTCCCCGCATTTGCCATGGGCCATTCAACCTGCAGGGTACATTTGAAAATATATGGGAAAATGGGGAGCAGGGATAGAGAGGGTGTGTTGGAAAAAATCAGGACGGTGAGGGACAGGTGCATAGCAGAATGGGGAGCACAGAGAGAGAGGGTGTGCTCGAGCAAAACCTGGATCGTTGGCAAGGGAAACAAACAAGCAAGGGAAACAAACTCACCACATGGCAAATCGTTGCCACCACTGGGATCTTGGCAAACATCGTCTTACACCTGCGACCGCCAAGTCCCTTGCAGAGCGCCATATCAAACGCCTTGTTGGCGAACGGGCGCCCCGTGTCAGGATCGCAGTGCCACTTGCTGCCATAAATGGCTGCAAGCACAGAAATCAGCTCGATGTAAGCACAATACATGTGGATCTCAGGAAAAAACGGCTGGAAGTGCTCGGGGCATGCAACGTTAAAACGAGCCGAGTACTTACGATCGAAATAGAAAAGGTGCCACTGCTGGACGTTGCGGCGCTGCACCGGCGCCATGTTCTCAGCAGCCAGCATGGGAATCTTCGATTCCCTGACGAACCCGCCTGGCCCATGTGCCCACGTCTTGACCTGCGTGAAGAGGTTGCCCCGACGCTCGCCGACCTTGTCTTTAAGAATCCTCTCCCGTTCCGGGTGAGAGTTCATGACAAGGTTGAACGTTTCCTCAGAAACGTTCACCAGCTGATACGTACGGATGAGTTGCTGCCTCAACTCCTGCGGCTCAGGCCAGAAGTTAATCTCCCTCGGGGGAGCCTCGGCAACGAAGTAGAGAACCGCTTGGTTGCACTTTGCCTGCCATGCACAAAACGGAAATGCAAAGTGCAAGATATCGGTTGAAGGCAAGCATGTATGGATCCATGGCTCTACCAACCAAGCATTGGTTGCGAGGGTGGGTGGGTGGGAATACGAGGTTGGAGCAAGAGCCAAGGTACAGAAGGTACGGGGGTGGGTGGGCGGGAATACGAGGTTGCGAGCATAGGATGAAGGTACGAGGGTGGGTGGGTGGGAATACGAGGTTGCGAGCGGAACATTGAAGGTATAAACGTATGACAGGCGGCGCGTACTCAGAATCAATGCCCACGGCTTACCGTGAAAAAGGTGAGCTCGGTAAGCGATTCCGGAAGCTTGGTCGAAGGTTCACGAGCATCTGGTCGAGGTGTTGGGGTTCCCGGATAAGCGAGGGGGGTGCCAAGGGAGCGAGAGGCGTTTGGCGCGAGCAGCGCAGGAATCACGGAGGTTGCCAACGAGCGTCCGACCGCCCCAGGTGCGACTGCAGGCGCCAGAGTTGAACGGTGATCGTTGAGGCCTCGCAAAGTGCTTGCAACGTTGACGGGCAGCGCGGAAGACGTTGAGGCCGGCCTGCTTGCCTGGAGCAATTGATTCGCCCGCTGACTCTCCTCCAGTTGCCGCCGAACGCCCGCCAATGTCTCCTGCTGCAACTCAACCGTGCGCTGCTGATCAGAAGCTGCAGCCTGGGCTCTGTCAACAGGCTGAACAACTTCTGCAAAACACCATGCATATCACATCACAATCATACGGGCACCATACACCACAAACACGTAACACGTTAAAATATGTCAGGCGTCCATCTCTGCAAAAAAAGTAAAAGAATGGCGGGTGTCTTATATAAGTACCTTGCATGTTGCTGTGAATGGCAAGACATGGGCAGAAACGGTTTACGATAAAAAAAAACCTTATACATCCTCACCTTTCCGTATCGTCTGGCGTTTGCGCTTCTGCTTCGACGTAGTGTTAGGAGCACCGCCATGCATAGCAGCAACGGAACCCTTCTTGCGCCTAGGGAAGGAGCGGTCGTCGTCACCGCTGTCGTCGTCGGCCTCGCTTTCGCCACTGACGTTTTCGTCCGCATCGTCCGCTGCTTCTAGAGCCGGCGAAAGTGTGACAGGCAAGTTACCGTCAGCAGATCCAGCGTCTAGTATTGGGTCTACCTCGGGCTCTAATGGCAAATCGCGACCTACGTCAGCCTTGTCAGCACCGTGCTCGTCCGACGACAGCTGGTCGTCGACGAGATCTGGTGCGACGAAGTTGGCAGAGTCAGAAGTGGAGGAGCTCTTGCGGGTGAACTCAGCACTGACTTGAGAGAGCAAAATTTGAAGTTGCTCAGGCGACATCCCATGCAGATTTATGGTCGAGTTATCAGGCTGGTTACCGGCTGAACCTTCGTTCGCAGCCATAACAGAATGTCTTCGCCCAGGTAACGTAACACCAAGTGCGCCATTATTGTACCTTGCAGGCACCACAACGGGTCTTTGAGGGCGGCCTGGAGGAGGATCATTTCCAGGAAGGGTAATAGGGCGTTGGTTCACCATCTCGGCAGAAACAAAAACTGGGGTTTGAGCTGAATAGTCGCACAAACCATATTTCTACAATCGTTTGCAGCTGAGAAAAATTGGCGGGGAGCTCCTGATTGGTCGTCGCAAGTGGTTGGAAGTCGCTGGGGCGATTGGTCGAGCTCTGTACCAAGCGACATCGTTGCTGTTGCAGCGCGACATGAGCAATATCGCACACCCTCACCGTGGGCTCACGACGAATCGCGATACCGCACTGCAGTCAGTTTCCGTGGAGGTGACCACAGTACATCCTCCACGTGGACCTAGACGAAGGTATTCCAGCAAACGTGGCGACTCCAACTCAAAAGCAGGGGAAACACGGTGACTGTATTAGCTGGAAACATGAGTTTTATGGAAACGATTTCAAGCGCACGTCACTCCCTTCTCCCACAAAGTAGGTACACGATTGTGGTGCCTGCTTTTTCAAAATTTGTACAACAATCAGTACTCAATATATACAAATATACAAAAAAAGCCATCAAAACAGAAAATGGTTGAGGAACCATGTCTGGCCTGCAGACTCAAGCTGCACTAATTGAACAGCTCTAAGAATGGAAGCTGTCTCTACAACCATGTACCTTTGAGAAACCCCTTCTAAACTGAATTGCCGGCAGCCGGTCAATTCATCTAACGCGTCATGCTCGATATAATACCTCACGAATGCGAATTCGCGTCGATCTAGACCATGGCCGACATGGAATAGTAGCAAAACCTTGCCGTACCACTCCGATCCTGTACCTTGGATAGCAATATCACTGAACCAAACTTTCTTGTGGAATAGCGGAACCGCTCGGATACGGTGTGGGGTGCTAGAAAAAGCCTCGTCCGTCGCGGGTGGCATGGCCAACTCAACATGAACCTGTACATCAGTTGTGTGCCACATATTGCATCATTAGTAAAGGCATAACGTAATTGTTGCCGGGAGTGCAACAAACAAATGCGTGCTAAGGGTAACGTACGTAAATTGTGTCGATGTTCGGGCCGTTGGGTACGTCACGATTGATGGAACGACGAAGATATGGGAGGTCGTTATGTAGGCTGTCCAGATACAATTGGTCTCGCTTTGGGTCAGGCTTGGAGAATCCGACGTATGGGTGCTCGCGACGACGCGCGTGAACGATCAACCCCCATGAACTCTTAGAGAGTGTACGTGCTCCTATCTTCAATGCCTGTACAAATTTCATGAAAAAATCATACTGGTACCATCCTTCAACATGAGAAAAGTAAGGCTTGATTGTCACTGTAAAATATACGTACCTGACGCATTGCATTACTGTATTCGTGTGTAGTGTCCAAGTCGGCTTGAGGTAGCGAATCCAGTTGCAAGCGTACCTCCTCCGCTTGGATGATTTGTCCACCCGCGTTACGCTTGTTGGATGCACGGTATGGCCTCTTGATATGGTCCTTGTGAAAGTGCTCAAACATGCTTGCATCATAGTGGAGTGGAGGGCCTGCACGGCGAATTGCGTCGATGTAGTGACTCATCAAGTGGGTCTTGATAAATCCCCATTTGTAGAGAGGGAAGCTCTTTTTTAGAAGCTCAATTAACCTGCAAATACACTCACACAAGATGTAGTCAGGTCGAAGGGCATATTACAATTATGTACATGCAATTTAGAAAGCGTACGAACCTCTTGGATTGTTCCTCGAGTTTTGTCAAGGTTTCCTCGTCATAGTCTCTCGTCTTCCCACACGTGTGATACCACTCGATGTATGCCACAACGGCGTCCATGTGTGGTTTCGCCACATAGTCTCGAATGAGGAAAGGAAGGATTTGCATGACAGACCTGTGCTCGTAAGCTTGGAACGAAGCACCTAGACGGAAATACTCTCCAGATGGTAGGCGCAAACCATCAACCCGACATGTCAACTTCAACTGCTTCAAGATGCTGCAAGGAAGGAGAGAGAGATACATTAGTCTTATGCACTGTGGAACATTAGAAAGAATGGTGTCAAGCGATGTAACGTACTCGTCAATGGCGACGTGGTATTTTTGATCAATGACCCCTCTCAAGGCGGCAATAATGTGCTCCAGCATGCCAAGATCAGCCTGATGCATTAGGTCTGGCATCACCGCCATATAAGGGCTGCCCCACGGCTCTGACTCGAAACGGAAGCCATGAAGCGCGCACTGCGTCGGGTTTAGAATGGCAGGAGAGTGTTGAGTGAAACATGACTAGTATATGACGCAAGAACAATGGATTGTTTTGCACATACCTCTACATGATGAGTGCTGTAGGTTTGCGGGTGAGGCCCACCTCGTTGCCGTGCAGAGACGGCCTTGTAGATGACATCTTGTTCTTCGGATGAGCGATATTCGTCTCTCTGCATGAAAGAGTCTAACTCAGTTTTGTGGACCTTGCATAAGGAACAGGGGTATAATGTACCTAGAGACTTGGTGCAGGTGAGTTTGCACGTCACTGGGTAGTCCGCCACATAGGCGTATAGTGCTGGGTAGGCCGTGAAAACGTGACCAGACTGGTCATGCACACGGGTCCCCCTGAAAAATTGAAATGTGGGCAACGGGGCAAAGAGGTAAGACAACTAGAGAGAAGGGAAGCATGGGCACAGCAATCCGAGAAGGAGGGTACGGGGATGAGAGGAGGGAAGTAAAGGACGCAAAAGGGCAGCGACGTTGGAAGAATGCTAAGAGCGAAGCATGGGGCAGCAATCTGAGAAGGAGAGGAGAGAGATGAGTAGGAGGGCAGTCACAGAAGCAAGGCCCATTGTGTTGAAAGGAAGTGCATCATGTGGCGAGCATGGCGAGCAGGGTAGGTCAGGGATGAGTATGGGGGCACTTACACGTGTGAAGCATCTTTCAATGGTTGAAGAACGAGGTGCAAGACATACTGGAAGATCTGCAGTCGGTCAACCGACGTGTACTCCGCCGGAAACTCCGGTAACGTTGCAATGAGCGCATGCCCGTATGGCTTCCAGCGATCCTCATGATGAATGTTTCCCAATGACATGTAGATGGGATGCCCCTTAGCTTTTCCTCTGCCGTCAGCTATTGTCTCATCCGACGAGAGAATGAGAGTGGCAACGACGTCGTCGATGCCGAGGCGATCCTGTTGGGGGGTTGGAAAAAGGCTTCTGAGGGAGATACAAAGACAGGATGTGAGGGGCTATAGTTACAGAGTTAAAGACAGTGAGAGAGAGGGATGTGCTTGGGACAGACGGTGTAGCAAGTACAGGTTGGGAGGGGCTACAATAACTGAGAGTAGGGCCAGATTATTGAAAGAAGCGCAGGGGAGAGAAGGAATGGCAGGGAGAGGAAGAGTGGGACCGGAAAACCAGAATGCGGGGCAAGGCGTGAGAGGGAAGCGTAGGGGAGAGAAGGAATGGCATGGAGAGGTAGAGTGGGACTGGAAAACCAGAATGCGGGGCAAGGCGCGTGAGGGAAGCGCAGGGGAGAGAAGGAATGGCAGGGAGAGGTAGAGTGGGACTGGAAAACCAGAATGCGGGGCAAGGTGCGAGAGGGAAGCGCAGGGGAGAGAAGGAATGGCAGGGAGAGGAAGAGTGGGACTGGAAAACCAGAATGCGGGGCAAGGCGTGAGAGGGAAGCGTAGGGGAGAGAAGGAATGGCATGGAGAGGAGGAGTGGGACTGGAAAACCAGAATGCGGGGCAAGGTGCGAGAGGGAAGCGCAGGGGAGAGAAGGAATGGCAGGGAGAGGAAGAGTGGAAAACCAGAATGCGGGGCAAGGCGTGAGAGGGAAGCGTAGGGGAGAGAAGGAATGGCATGGAGAGGTAGAGTGGGACTGGAAAACCAGAATGCGGGGCAAGGCGTGAGAGGGAAGCGTAGGGGAGAGAAGGAATGGCAGGGAGAGGTAGAGTGGGACTGGAAAACCAGAATGCGGGGCAAGGTGCGAGAGGGAAGCGTAGGGGAGAGAAGGAATGGCAGGGAGAGGTAGAGTGGGACTGGAAAACCAGAATGCGGGGCAAGGTGCGAGAGGGAAGCGCAGGGGAGAGAAGGAATGGCAGGGAGAGGAAGAGTGGGACTGGAAAACCAGAATGCGGGGCAAGGCGTGAGAGGGAAGCGTAGGGGAGAGAAGGAATGGCATGGAGAGGAGGAGTGGGACTGGAAAACCAGAATGCGGGGCAAGGTGCGAGAGGGAAGCGCAGGGGAGAGAAGGAATGGCAGGGAGAGGAAGAGTGGGACTGGAAAACCAGAATGCGGGGCAAGGCGTGAGAGGGAAGCGTAGGGGAGAGAAGGAATGGCATGGAGAGGAGGAGTGGGACTGGAAAACCAGAATGCGGGGCAAGGTGCGAGAGGGAAGCGTAGGGGAGAGAAGGAATGGCAGGGAGAGGTAGAGTGGGACTGGAAAACCAGAATGCGGGGCAAGGTGCGAGAGGGAAGCGCAGGGGAGAGAAGGAATGGCAGGGAGAGGAAGAGTGGGACTGGAAAACCAGAATGCGGGGCAAGGCGTGAGAGGGAAGCGTAGGGGAGAGCAGGAATGGCATGGAGAGGAGGAGTGGGACTGGAAAACCAGAATGCGGGGCAAGGTGCGAGAGGGAAGCGCAGAGGAGAGAAGGAATGGCAGGGAGAGGAAGAGTGGGACTGGAAAACCAGAATGCGGGGCAAGGCGTGAGAGGGAAGCGTAGGGGAGAGAAGGAATGGCATGGAGAGAAGGAGTGGGACTGGAAAACCAGAATGCGGGGCAAGGTGCGAGAGGGAAGCGCAGGGGAGAGAAGGAATGGCAGGGAGAGGAAGAGTGGGACTGGAAAACCAGAATGCGGGGCAGAATGAAGGGAAGCGCTTCTGCGAAATGTCCGGTGCCGCCGCCAGTGCGGCCAGTCTCCAACCCGGTGGGGTCAGGAATGAGGAGGGCGAGGAGGAGAATCATAGCCCTGCCTCTGAATAGCCTCGGAGACACTGCGCTGTCGTTTCTCGCCATGGCTGGAGTCCTGGTTCTGCAGGAGATTTCGCGCTGGTTCAAAAAAGTCATAGTACAAATAACTTTTGCAATGAAACCACTTCTAGCAAGAACTGTCGCTGGTTCGAATAGACTTCGCCGCTTCTGGAATGAGACACAACTCCGTGCGACTCCAATGACTCAAAAGCTTGGGAGTGGTATGATAGTACTAGAGTTGGATGTGTTGCTGTTCTATGTGAGCAGGAAAGAGTTCTTGGGAAAGAGTTCTTGGGAAAGCTGTATTTTCTGAATGGAAATTGAGAAAGACATGGAAACGGAAACCTTAATGTCAAATAGCTGCATCCCCATAGAACAAGGCGCATGACAGAATTTTTGCTGAATGAATATGTGCCACGAAGTATTCAACGCTGGTCTTTGAAATTTTGGCATTGCGAGAACCGTCGATCTCGATCGAAAAGTGAACCTGAGCGGACGAACAAGCTGCAGTGGCAGGAACTGCCGGTCACCCTTGCCGTGCTGGACGGGCCGGGGTCACCGGTCTCCCGGTCGTCAGTGTCAATCTCGGTTTGGTGACACGTGACACGTCCCTGCTTGCGGATTGAACCTGCATTGAATCAATCATCGGCGAGGGAATGATGAACTTCTCTGTTTTCAAGTTTCCGGTTCCTTTACGCAACGGTTTTGGCAGCGCCTAACTTTGCGCTCGGGTCAGATTACTTGGAGCAGATAATTTCTCCATTTTCCTTGTCTATTCAGAAAATACAAGCTGTTTTCTGTTTGGGGAAATCTCTAATATTTCATTGCGTCCTAAAGCGCGGCCCCGAAAAAAAAGGTATATAAAAACAAGGCAGTTTGTCATTCTCTAATTTTAGGCTGCTACAAATCAACAATAACATAGCCACCTAGGATGTTAAGCCTAAATCTGCGTTTGTCTAAGCCTAGAATGAAACACAACGGAATATTATTTCTGAAGAAGATACAGATTTGAAAATTGAATGATACTATTAACAAGAAAACTATTTACATAGCATGTAATAACAAATAGAAAATACTAAAAATTATAGTGTTATGTGACGCAAAGGAATCTTATAATATGAGAAGACGATAGGGTTGACATTACTATTCATGGTGAACAGTCAACGACCCTGAAACACTACCCCCCTTCCGAAGGAGACGACATCCACCGCACATACCGATCTGTGCTGAACAATCGTAAGCAAAGACTAATATTTAAGAAGATTCTGGTAGTCAGGAGTAAGAAACAAGAATGAATGAACTAGCAGCAAGATGGTGTCAGAGTATTATAGCTGATGCATGTTTCTAGGCTATAGTGGGGTAGCACATATGGGGTACAGGGTTTCTAGGGATGTATTTGTACCCAATCTTTCCTTAGTCAAACTCATTCCTGTTTTCCTTACTTCACATGGTATAGAGCGGGTCCTGCCTTAGGACCGTTTTTTTTAGGGCCCACCGAAGCGCGCCCCGAGGCGCGCCTTTTTTTAGCGACCCCTCGGATCGCCTTTTCCCTCGCGGCCCCGCTGTCCCTCAGACGCGGCCCCGCCACCTCTCCTGATCGCGGCCCCGCCGCCTGTTTGACGCGGCCCCGCCGCCTCTCCTGACGCGGCCCCGCCGCCTCCCCTGACGCGGCTCCGCCGCCTCCCCTGACGCGGCCCCGCCGCCTGTTTGACGCGGCCCCGCCGCCTCTCCTGACGCGGCCCCGCCGCCTCTCCTGACGCGGCTCCGCCGCCTCCCCTGACGCGGCTCCGCCGCCTCCCCTGACGCGGCCCCGCCGCCTGCCTGACGCGGCCCCGCCGCCTGTTTGGCGCGGCCCCGCCGCCTCCCCTGACGCGGCCCCGCCGCCTCCCCTGACGCGGCTCCGCCGCCTCCCCTGACGCGGCCCCGCCGCCTCCCTTGACGCGGCTCCGCCGCCTCCCCTGCCGGCCCGCCGCTGCTCCTGCCGGCCCGCCGCTGCACCTGCCGGCCCGCCGCTGCACCCAGCGGCCCGCCGCCTCTGACGGCCTCGCCGCTGCACCTGCCGGCCCGCCGCCTCTGACGGCCTCGCCGCTGCACCTGCCGGCCCGCCACTGCACCCTACGGCCCGCCGCTGCACCCTCCGGCCCGCCGCCTGCACCTGCCGGCCCGCCACTGCACCTGCCGGCTCGCCGCTGCACCTGACGGCCCCGCCCCTGCATCTCCTGGCCGAGCCGCCCCAGCAGCCGAACCGCCTGTGAGCCGAGCCGCCCGACGCCGAGCCGCCCGGGACCCGAGCCGCCCTGCCGCCGAGCCGCCCGGGAGCCGAGCCGCCCTGCACCCGAGCCGCCCAGCCGCCGAGCCGCCCGGGAACTGAGCCGCCCTGCACCCGAGCCGCCGAGCAGCCGAGCCGCCCTGCACCCGAGCCGCCCGGTCGCTGAGCCGCCTTTCTGCATAGCTGCACGACCTGCCCTGCCTGGTGAGCACAGTCCCACTGACACTGCGAGCTCTTTCCCTACTGCTTGCACTGCGTCGCTGTCGTCGCCATGGCTACCCCTAGTGTCCTAGCTTTTGACGCTGAGGGTCGCGCCATTGATTTTGAGGTCTGGTTAGACGACCTGCAGCTGTTCTTACAGTGCGACAGGGCTGACGACCTTTCTCTCTTTGATCTCACCTCTGGCGCCTCTCCTGCTCCTGCTGCTGATGCTGATCCCACTGTGCGCTCTAAGTGGGCCACCCGCGATGCTGCTGCACGTCTTGCTGTGCGTCGCCACCTCCCTACCTCTGAGCGTGCGCACTTTAGTCAGTACAAGAGTGCTCAGACCTTGTACGACGCTGTAGTTGCGCGCTACTCCTCCCCTGCCACTGCTGCACTGAGCCGTCTCATGCTTCCCTACCTCTTTCCTGACCTCTCTGCCTTTCCCACTGTCGCTGACCTCATTACGCACCTCCGCACTAGTGACACTCGCTACCCGCGCCGCCCTTCCTGCTGAGTTCTGCGCTAAGAACCCCCCCCCATGTACATCGCTCTCTACTACGTAGTCGCGCGCCTCCCTGACTCCCTTCGCGTCGTCAGGGACCACTTTCTCGCAGTCTGTCCCACCACCCTCACCGTCGACCTCCTCGAGAAGGCCCTCCTCGCAGCGGAGAAGAGCATAGTCGCTGTAGGTGCTTCTCGTGGTGACCCTCGCACCCCCATCTTTGAGGGGTGCTCTCCTTCCCCCTTGCTGCCCTCTGTTGCCTCTGCTGCTGCTGCCGACCTGCTTGGTCTTGAGTCGGTTGGCGCGGCGTCTGCCCCTAGTGGGAGACGTCGCTCCAGCAAGGGCAAGGGGGGCAAGGGCGCGGGTGGAGCTGGAGGGGGCGGTGGCGGTGGCGGTGGTGGCGGCGGAGGGAGTGGGGGTGGCGGCGGGACTAGTGGTGGAGGTGGTGGTGGTGGTGGCAGTAGTGGCGGAGACGGTGGTGGTGGTGCCAGCGGTGGTGGTGGAGGCAGCGGCGGTGGTGGAGGCGGCGGAGGTGGAGGCGGTGGAGGCGGCAGCGGAGGAGGCGGTGGTGGTGGAGGAGGTGGAGCTGGTAGAGGTGGTACCCAGCAGCGTAGCGGCGGTGGTGGTGGCCAGCGCTCGCAGCGGCAGCAGCAGCAGCGCTCGCGGGACATCCCTTCGCCTCAGCAGCTTCGTGAGTGGTACGCTGGGCGTCAGAGGGGTGGGGGTACTGGTCCCTGCACCTACGTTCTTCGTTCCGGCGACCGCGCGGGTGAGCAGTGTGGGGGTGCCCACGCCACCCAGCGCTGCTTTGGCCGCCTGACGGACGCTTGGCGTCAGCAGTTCCCTGGGGCTAGTGAGATCCCTCGCTGGGATGAGCTTCTCAGGGCTGGTGTAGCGATCTTTGATCTTGATTTTGATGCTATCCTTACTGCTATGTATGTTGTGGATTATAGTGAGGAGAATGAGGGTTACCGTTGTTTCCAGCCCGACCCGGGCATTAGTACTGCTGCGCTAGGTGCTTGTGAGGCTGCTGCTCTAGGTGCCAGTGCGTCTGTGCTCTCAGGTACTGGTGAGACTGCGCTCTCAGGTACTGCGTCGTCCTCGTCCTCCCTCACTTTCACACTTGACTCCGGAGCTTCTCGCTCCTTCTTTCGAGACCGCACTACCCTTACGCCGCTCGGCCGGCCGGTTGCAGTCTCCCTTGCTGACCCCTCTGGGGGTCCTGTCCTGTCTCACTTCTCCACTGTCCTCCCGTGTCCGGCTGCCCCTTCGGGCACCCTGTCGGGTGTGTACCTTCCCTCGTTCTCTACGAACTTGGTGAGTGGAGCGGACCTGCAGGATGTGGGTGTTCACCAGTTCACTCCTGCGAGTCAGCGGGTGACCCACTGCACGGAGGCACGCACAGGCCGACACCTGGCCACGTTCTCGCGTCGGCCGGGGTCGAGTCTCTACACCCTGACCGTTGAGTCTCCTCCTGTCCCTGCGTCTGGTCAGGTGGCTGCGTCGGGTCAGGTACTTGCTGCTGCGTCCCGGTCAGGTCCTGAGTCTGCCCCCTGTTCTTGTCGCCTCCTGTCTCACGAGACTCTCCTGTGGCACCACCGTCTTGGCCACCCCTCCTTGCCCCGTCTTCGGAGCAGGCAGTGGGGAGGTAGGTGACGACGTAGTGGTACCGATACGGGCTATCAACCTCAACCGGACGAATAAGGTGGATGAACACGTGGATCACCCTATGCTGGTCGTGTGGAGGGTTAACGGATATAAAATAAAACAATATTTGTTGACGGTGGGGTGAGCCATAGTCTCGTCAACCTGGGAACGCAAAAAAAAATCGGAGTTAAGCAGACAGGTGTCTGCACAAGATTGACGCGCGACTTGTGGACGGAACACCACTGGCAATCAGGGACGAGGTGCAACAAATTCGGATGAAGTCTGGCGACAATTTAGGGTTTTCAATGAAGATGCTGGCGACTACATTGGACGGTTGCGATGTGCTACTGGGACGAGATTCGCTACAGCGATATAATCCGATGATCGACTAGACGACGGGGGCGTGCACGGTGCTGAGCAACA